TCTATTCAGGGGTCCTGGAGAGGGTGGTCTGTCGAATAGTTGTATGTCATGGACCAGCTGTATACCCTTTTCCGGGTCCTGGAGGGGGCATGGGAGTTCGCCCAACTAGATCAAATGAGTTTTTACGAATTTGAACTAGAGGTTAAACCATGTTCCTGGAGGACTCTTCTGGGGGGTGCTCCGTGAGTATGAAGTACTGGACCTCTTGTTCAAGCCGTTCGGTCCCTGTGCAACCATGGGCAGAGGCTGGTCCACATTGAGAGTAGTAAGTTCATTGGTATTAAAGGCAGAATTTCTTAGTGTAGAGGGGATCCGGTGAGGTGGCATTTGCGTTGGATCTCTGATTTTTATGCAGATTTTGTAGTTCTGTTGGCTCTATCTAACAAACCCTCCAATTTCACTGGAACTCATTTCTAAATCCATATATGATGAGTTTGCAATGTTCCTTAACAACAAAGATAGGCATTAAAAATGCAATGGTCTCCACAACACAAACAACTACTTTGCCCCCAGTTAGACATCTAGAGCTGACACATTTCACACCTGTCACTGACAGAAAATAGTTTCTGTCATCAAAGCTCTCTTTTGTCCAGGCCTCCCATGTTTCTACATAAAGAGGCCAAGCTAAACCCTGACATTGTCAGAGAGAGGTAAGCAAATGGACCAAAAAAGAAAATAACAAAGAAAAATCACCCAGAAAGGTCTAACAATGTTAAAATGATTCTTTGAGTTGCAGTTTTCTCCTCACTTCCATCTCTTTTTGTTTTTGTTTTTTTTAAATGATCATGCCTGTCCAGAAGATCAAAACCAACATTTTTCTCATCCGCATCAGAAAAACATTCACTTACCGCAACTGGTCTTCCATAACTATCATCCAATAAGTGGTCCATCCCATGTATGGAATGCAAAGCTTCACATTGAAAATCAATAAACAATCGCTCTCCTAATCCATTTCGGTTACACCGTCCATTTGGTGTAACATACTGGGTTCACTGTATGAAACTGCTGAATTGTCACACAACACTCGGGACCTGGTGGCATTCCGTAAGATCCAAGAGGGCCAGATAAAGAACAGGGCTGAAATGGACCTGCTGTGTTTAACAAATGTTACAGACCACCCAAAGGTCAAATAATACATTTGGCAGCGGGCCTACCTCATGAATCTTACCTCTGTCTCGTTGCTCAGTTTGTCTGCAGGATTTCAGCATCTTGTACATAAACAACCGCTTCATTTTGGAAACTCACAGAATCCAGACCATACTGCAGGGCACACTTGCACTCACACCTGCAACACCGTTTGAAAGCCTGTGTTCCTCTGGTGGCAAGACCTCCTTTAGTGCATGTCTCCACCTTCCCAGCAACAGCCTCTGCTACAGGCTTGGTTGTACCAGCCTCATTCTATTTGGGGGGACAAGAGACCCACTTGTGGTCCATGTCTGCCCACTCAACACATTTAACCAGACCTGAGACAACCAATGACTAATTTGGTGATTCCAGGTACCTAACAACCTCTCTGCATAGGCCCTGAACAAGTTTGAGTTTGTATTCCCTGCCGCCTAAACTGAAAACCGTCTTGAAACCTGTTTGACCGACTCAGTTTGTTTAAAATAAAACAGCAATACTTCCTTGTTTGCATGAGAGGCAGATATTACCATGCTCGACTTTGTCTCCAGCTGCCAACAGAATTTGCTTCACAAAGGTGTTAAACTGTGGCACCCCCCTCACACTTCAAAGAAAAACGTTTCTTTAAGTGGACACAAATCCTAGTCCTACAGCTTAATCCAAAGTTTTGGTTCAATTATAAGGAAACAATATAGATAACACAAGCCAAAGGTGTGAAGACGATTTTTAACAACTTCAGACTCTCTCAGACTCAGCATGCATTTCACACCCGAAACTCTTTCTATATCTTTAAAAATGACTAAAGATAATGCTGCAATAATGCAACAGTACAGTAAACATGGGTTAAGTGGCTTTCTGCCAACAGCGAAGAACTGCTGAGTCAGAGAGTGCTACATCCACAAAACAAGAATGGCTACGTCTGAACTCAGTTCCAGCTTCAGCTCTGAGGGGGACTTATAAAAGTATATTCAGAGAAATTAATAAAATCCATCTTCTAAAGAGACAAAGTCAACATGTTTAAAGCTAAACACATGCCTTTATAGTGAAACCCATTGTTTAGTATTATGAACCCTTCACAGTTTTTTCTGAACCTTCCTGTATATATACCAGTCGAGTTTTAAATTGCTGATCAGTATTTACAGGCTTGATCAGGCTGCTCAATATTCTTTTTTTTATTGATGGTCTCTCTTCCAAAAGCCAAAGCCATGAAAAAAACAAATGAAAAAAAACAAACAAAATACCATGAGGACAATTTACAGGCGCAGTGATTAGGATTTACGGTAGACTGGTAGCAAAGATGCAGACTGCAGCCAACTGGTTTTCACTATTTCATCTTCCACTGTCATGCATGAGTATACCAAAGACTCCAGCTCCAAAGAGTGATAATCAATCCACCTCAGTGCAGAATCTAAATTTCTCTGAGTGAAATTGTGCTTTTTCAGAATAAAAAAGGAGAGTTAAAAGGGACTTCTTCAGCTAATGTAATGTTTTAAGGATAAAAAGATAAAAATGGTCTCACGATGGGTTATGCCCACCCTGTGTCATTTATGTTGTAATGCCAATCCCGATTGACTGGTGATCAGGATGCCCATATCATCCATTCTTGGCCTGCACACCACAGCAGCGTCATATTCAAGATGAATCATTTTCAAGATTAAATCATATTCAAGATGAAAGCAAGAAGTTGTCTAAAGTTTCATTTTGCACATGAGCTTCATTCATTTAAGTGTCTCTAATATGAAGAATCCTGAATTGCAAGATGAGATTATCTTAGAAAACCACCAACACTGGGTGGTGTTTTAGCAAGAGAGCCACAAGTTTAGCATGGAATTAACTACCTGGAATGTGATGATCTGGAGGCAGGAAGCTGCCTATGAGTCCTCTTCTTAAGACGGCAAAGACTGTTGACTGGCTGTTTTCCCTCAAAGCCCACATGGCATGAATAAATTGCACCCAAATAAACCTTTATTGAAGAAAACCCCTTATTTTGGGGAATCAACTCCTCAAGGAATGATAGAATCCCATTGACAGAGCACTGAAAAGAGGGTTGCCTCAACACCCTCCACTTGCTGTCCTAAAGGGAGCCAATGGAAAAAGCTCTGGTGTGCTACATGGCATGGACCACATTGAGAGGAAGGTCCACTGTGTCCAAATGACTCCACTCATGGGCCAGGCCCTCCTGGTTTGGAGTAGAGAAACATCACTCACTGGACATCCCAGCACCAGCAACCCTATGGCAACAGGCATCTTTGACAGGACAGCGTCCATAGGCATGCCCTGAACCAGGAGGGCGATGTAGGGTCAGTATCTCAGTCACACTGAGCCTCGCTGTAGGGACGCAACCCAAGGCTGAAGCTGGTACTAGTGAGTGGTACTACTATCGTGTCAGGCGTCCTTAGCCTGAGTCACAACCTGTAGGGGACTGAGCCATGTAGCTGGACACCATGCCCTCTAAAGATGCTGACTCAGAGTCCAGAGCCAGTCCCAGAAAATCTATATTTTGCACTTGGAAAAGTGCCTTATTGTGTGGGTTTATGATAAAACCCTGATTGACCAAATACAGGAATACTTTGGCAATCAGTACATCTGCCTCCTATTTGAAATTAGCCAAAAGGAACCAGTCTCCAAAGTATGTAGCAGAGCATCCTGGTACGTTAATGGTGCTACTGCTGCCTTGGTACACCTTACAAACATTCTTGGTTTCCAATACAATAAAAAAGGAAGCACTGCATACTTGTAACAGACATCCCAAACAGAAAACCTCAGGTATTTCGTGCAAGGATAAATTCATGTATGAAATATAAGCATGCTTCTGGTCAATGGATGTGAGCCAATTGTCTTGTTGCACCAGGTGCAGCAGGGTTGTTTATTAGGATAATCAAGTCTAGCACCCTTAAATCACCTACAGGGTGAATCTAGCTTCCTTGCTTTGGGAAAAGACAATAGCCGGAATTAAAAAAACGCCCTGGCTCTGACCAAGAGGTATAAATGGTCCTGTGAAATGTGATCTGAATCCCCCCGAGGCTGTGACTAGCTTATTCCAGAGAAACAGGGGGACATGACCGCAAACTGCAGCCTGTAGCCCCACAGTACCACAATTGGGAATGGTAAAAATCCAGTCTCTTTAGTATCAGAGACGATGGGGTGTGTCAGGCCGCTCTTTTCTTCTTTCTCTCCTGCCCAGCCTGCATGAGAGACCCCTCCTTTGGGTTTGGGGTCTCTCCTCTGCCAGCTTGGTCTCATCTCTGAAGAGCGTATCCAGAATCTCCCTGTGGATTTCTTTTGCTGGTGTGCCTAACAACGCAGCAGCAATGTGTTATAGTTTTGGATGCTCCAGTGTATAGGGGACAAAGTAGCTAGTGCCTTGCAATGGAAAAGAAGATAGCCTGGCCTGTGAGCGGTTAAGCTAGCTAGTCGATAAATTAGGCATGAGCTTCAAAATTAAAAATAGGTTTTTGAATTATGTTACTGTGGTACGCAGGCCCCTTAAAGATGGGCGACGTGGGCATCACAAGTACCAGCCAATCAAAATTGGCGTAATTTAGTGAAAAGGAAGGCGTGCTTTTCAACAGCATAGATTATGTCATGTCTCAGGGTGGTGTTAGATCCGAGATGTCTCTCTTATAAGTTGCGTTGTGAATTTGATGAGTTGTTTATTTAGTTTATTGTTCCGTTTATCTTTGGGTAAAGAATTTATGCATGTTTTGGAGTTTTAAATTCAACGCGTAATGCGTCCTCTTAGGTCTTTATCTTCATGTGACTCATAATGCGTATGGTTAGATTATATGTGTATGTGAGTCGATGTTTTTGCAGACTACATAGCCTGAAAATCAACCTCGAAGCCCAAATACCAAGTGACGACCCACGGCTTTACTCCTTCACCTGACGCCCATCCCACTCTTAATAGAGTTCCCTCTACCTTTTCGAACATTCCCGTCCGTGGTGCGCTGGAACTCCCCCGCGCTCAGCAGGAAGCAGGCTCGGTCGTGCGGGTAGCGCTCGCGGCTCGTGTTGGAGCCCAGACCTCCAGTAGCTGGGCTGCGCTCATCCCCAAGGACCTGGTCAATGGTGGGGCAATCCTCATTGGCCAGGGCTGCTGCACTGGCTGCTGCATCACCATTCTGCTTTGAGTCTGAGAAAAGAGTAGGTGAAAATGAATGGAGCAGCTGTGGAGGTCAGGAAATTAAAGGAATATACACAATATACACATACGTTTTCAAAAGAACTGTAATGGACAGTTCCCCTCTCCTGGTACCCATTATCTGCTGGGATAGGCTCCAGGCCCCACAACATTATAGGCAGTGTTTGGATGGATGAATTATCAAAAGAAAACTATGGAAAAAAACTAAAGGATAAGTAAAGGTTCAAACCAAAGAAATGTAAATAAAGATAAAAACCAATATACGTGTAAGTCATACAACCATGTTGAACAATACCATAAGCTTTAATAGTCTATTTGGCCTTCATAGTCATTAATATATTATTTTTGAAATATAAAACATTGTTTGAAATTATTAGCAGCTACCCAACTGTAAAATCTGACTATCTCTGTATACTGCACAGACGTAGCTTCTGTCCACATCAAGGCAGAGATAGAGTTTCAAAATATCCCAAACTGTGGTAGATTTCCTGTGGCTGTCAGCAGAATGGCTCGTCTTTCCATAATGACACCACTAAAAAAAAACACTCAATATATTGAGACAATATTTGAGGATTGATGATGTAAAACAAAAATACATTTGAGGATTGTTTACATTCATTTGATCTGTGAAGCATGCTGAAGGACGAAATTCCTATAAATAAGTAATTCTGTGAATATGTTTATTTTAGCCACTGGCTTTAATGATGCCATGGTTGCAAAGAAAACTACACTCTCCAAATTCCACTTGTAGAAAATAGGCCTTGAATGACTTTAGTCTGCTCAAAAGTACATTCTTATAGCATCCAAGTTGCATTTCCAGTCAGTCTGCCTCCTATGTAAAGCCCCAGGTATCTGTACCTGGAGCTGAAGGTGACAGAATTATACTGGAGGTCTAAAGTGTACCAGGTAAAGGTAAATAATTGTAGACCATGAAGGCACCTTCAACACTGAGCTATGCTGAATGGGCAAAGTGGAATTGGAATCAAATGTTTTTTATGGGGGTTGTTGCATCTAGTCCATTCTAACTGAGGTCAGATGCCTGAGATTTTTTAGGTGTGCGTTCTGCTTAATGATTCCTATTCTTCCTATCAACTCAATGCTCTTAGACGTTACATGCCATGTCCATCAGTTCACTAATACAGTCTGTGTAGTCGCAACAAAAACTGAGGGTTTCCTGACAAAAACTGAGTAATGCCAGTGACTTATCCAGAGCTCACTTGGAATAGATCCAGATTAAAGGCAAACACTTGGGCTGGAAACTTGGTATGAGACGAAAGAAAACAAGTCAAGATCACCTGAGTAGCATCGGAGTAAATAATTCAACTCAAAGCTCCAAGGACATTTACCATTAGATGACAGTGCTATCTTCAAACCACCAGGCAGAGCAAAAATGCTCAAACTTAGCCCTTGAAAGCCTGATCCACGAAAGAATTGGAGAAAAAATAGTTATTTTTGAGTCTGATGTGTTTTTGGGGCCCTTTAATAAAATATGAAAAAACTTTAAGACTTTTTTTTTTACCTTTAAAAATAAAGTATACAAAAAACTTTTTTAAACTTTATGTTACAAAATCAGGCAGTAGGTACGTCAATAACATACATCTAGCACAATTGGGGAGGAAAGATATTCTATTTTAGGAGCATTGTGTCATGTTATGTTAAGCCCTGACATTCCACATGGTGAGTGGAACTAAAAATTGTCAGGAACCATTGAAGGAATAACACTCAGTAACCAGAGGCAGGACACCAACAAATGTCTAATCTAGAAGTGTGTAAACTATGGGAGCGATCCTCAACCAGCCCACCACTGGCTTCAGTTCCACCCACAAGTCATTGCTAATAACAACAAAACATGTTTGTTTTTATTAATATTCCAGTTCATCCCTAGGGTTATGCTCCACTTCAGTTTTGACCATGTACACATGGTAAAAGAAACATTACCAATGAACTGCAGATTCACTGCAGTGTCACTCTAAAAAGGCAGGGAAGCCAAAACCTTTCTACAGCTTTCAAACGAAAGAAACTGACTTTCCTCCCTCCTTTCTTTCCAGAAAACTACTTTTTTTCAGCTGGGATGAATAATGTAATGGATACACATTTAACCATCAAGTGTTTAAAGTAGAAACGCTTCAAATTTTCTAAAGGTGTTCATTATTTGTCTCTGTTACAAGCTGTTGAAATATAAAACTGCAGTCTTTTCTCTCTTTTTATTTGAAAGGCAGTATGTTAGTGGTTTTTCACTGTGCTTCTTCTGCTGAGTGAACATGGCAGAGCTGGATCTTGAGAGGAAAATAGATTTTGACACTAAACCGACCACTTTTGACCCCAACAACTTACGTTTGTGGGGAGTTTTTCCCTAAATGCCACCCAAGTGGTTCTTGTGAAGCTCAATCCCCCATACAAAATGCAACGAGGACCTCCACAAAGTCAAATCAATCCCTTTCATTCTAGCTATTTTCTATACTGGTATTTCTCTAAATCTCCAAAAGAGGGTGCTAAGTACATCTACAATCAGAGCTTGGTCTAAGAGGGAGACGAAAGAGAGGGAGAGAGGAATGTAAAAAAAGAAAAAGAGAAAAAAGAACCAAGTTCTTTTGCAAGGTTGTTGGGTTAAGCTGCCATGGTGCATCGTTTTGCTCATAGATTCCAGGTATCTGCTTTTAGCTCAGTTGAACTGTTTTAATCAGATGTGTGGCTTTGTAAGTTAACTACATGTATGGACTCAGAGCCATCTTAAATAAGAGAATCACTTCATTTTTTTTTAATAAGGAATTCTGTTTTCAGTGTCTAGTGAGGTGATGTAATGGTAACAAAATAAGAGACTAATGCAGGGAAGATGGGCACCCCACATCAGATATTGCATAACTGTGATGTTGCAATACTGCTTCATTGATATTTGCAACAAATCCCTTTTTCGCTGCTGCTGCACATTTGCATAAATTAACTGCAGACCTTGATAAGTTGAGGCATTTTCGCAAAAGATGTGGACCAAAATCCCTCTACTTCAACCTAAGAGGGAGGATAACGGCATAAATCAAAGAATTTTCTTTTAAGGCATCGCTGCTCAAAGTGATGATGGAAGTCTTTTAAGTATAGTAAGAATTATTAGTAGGGTTTATTCTTAGTCCAGGTCCCATTTAATTAAAAACAGATATCCAAATATGATCAAAATTAGAACGAAAAGAGGTTTTGCTTTCATTAGTGATCCATTCATGATTTAAAATCTGCTTCCCACTCTCTTGTTTGGATAAGAAGAAAATAAATGTAATCATTCCAAACACTATATTTTTTAATCGTTTAAAGTCACAGATTCTTTGCTACTGCCACATTTATCAGGAGACAATGTTGCTAATTAAATGGAAAGAAAGAATATCATACTTAATGACAGCAATTTTTCTTAATCCTAGTGTCAGGTGATGCGTAACTTTTTGTTCTTTTGTAGATTGTTTCAATCTTTTAATATTGCTTCAAATTACACTTGTAATGATTAAAAATTACCTCATTCATTCTTTTTAGTTATTTTTGTTGGAATTGACAGCTTTAAGAAGACCAACACAACCTGAGGTTCTAATGAACTAATGATGGATTTTCAACCAACGCCACCCCAAGTTCTGATTTTAACTTTCATTAAACTTAACAAATGAAAAAGTAATGAGGGTACAAATTTGAACTTTGAGATGTCCACAGATTGTTCTGTTTATCATGCCTTTGCTGGCCTTTACAATAGAATAATAGATGTAATTTAAGAACATATTTGCCTTTTAAGATGCCATTATAAGAATGATACACAAACTAACGAAAAAGTATCTTTAGTTTCAAGTTTTTTTTGTATAACATTGAACGTACATGGTTAATGTTCTTTCACTTACCTGCCCTGTTTATCTCTATGATCTCTTCCTGTGCCAGAGGGCAATCTCCAGTACCCATCATGCTCCCAGATCCCACCATGCCTGGCCCGAGCACGTTGCCCATTAGCCTGTGTGGAGAAGCAGTGGCCATAGCCAGAGCATCTGGTTTGCAGTAGTTAGGGCTCCCTGGCTGTGGTGCTCTTGGGATGTGCTTGTTCCTCTTCTTGGGGAGCTTCTGCTTGGCCATGGCCAGGGAGTAGTACATGCCAAAGTTGTTGACGATGACGGGCACAGGCATAGCGATGGTCAGTACTCCTGCCAAAGCACAGAGAGCACCCACCAGCATTCCTGACCATGTCTCAGGGTACATATCCCCGTATCCAAGAGTGGTCATGGTCACCACAGCCCACCAGAAGCCGATTGGGATGTTCTTAAAGTTGGTGTGGGCCGCAGCTGTTGGGTCATCTGGATCGGCTCCAATGCGTTCAGCATAGTAGATCATGGTAGCAAAAATGAGGACACCCAGTGCCAAGAAAATGATTAGCAACAGGAATTCGTTGGTGCTCGCTCGCAGGGTGTGGCCCAGGACCCGTAAGCCAACAAAATGGCGGGTCAGCTTGAATATACGCAAGATCCGAACAAAGCGCACCACTCGCAGGAAGCTCAACACATCTTTGGCTGTTTTGGAAGAGAGGCCACTCAGCGCCACCTCAAGGTAAAAGGGCACAATAGCTACAAAGTCTATGATGTTGAGGGCGCTGCGGAAGAACTCGTTCTTGTCGGGGCAGAAGATGACACGCAGCATGACCTCGATGGTGAACCAGATGACGCAGACGCCCTCCACATACGTCAGCCAACCATCTGTGACAACTTCATACACAATCTGTGGAGTGTGAAACAGAAGGAAAAGATTTATAGGCTGAACAATCAGACCAGTGAATTATTCAATCACTGTATATCGTTTAGGCATAAGGTCCGTGGCAATACCAAAGTGTCACTGAATGACAGTAAAATCATGGACCTGCATGGAAGGAAGGTTGGAAAATAGTAAAAAGGCCTTTAAAATGTTTGTGGAAATGTGGAAACCTGTGCCGCTGGACCTAAGGGCTAAGAATGTAGGAGGAATATCTCCTGTACTTTAAGCAACTGGTACTACTGCTAGTAGGTTAGTTGTGCCACTTAGAAGCTCTGATAGAGACTAAAAACACCCCATTACACACATTCCAAGTCTAAATTTCAAAGCAATAAATGGAAGAGGGACCTCTTTGATCAAAGGTGACATTATTAACCATCGGACAATCTTACAGTTTGATTTTTATTAAAAAAAACTAATTAAAATGTGTCTTTAGTATCCTCAGTTTTAGTATATGGGCTTTTTTGGTTTGATTTTAAAATGCAAGATGAAACAGAGGTTTGGATGATGCCATGGCTCCTTGGTTTGTATTTTTTTTTAAACATTTTCCATTCATGCTTCAACAAATGACTCATTTAAATCAGTGCTAGTTGAACACGGGAGGACCGATTGTCTTTAAACAGAGATTCCATTTAAGCCATAAGAGCTACAGCCCTAAAGAGATATTATAGGGAATACAAAACTGAGCAAATGAACCCCTTTTATCACATTTAAAAACAAATATTTCCAGGTACCACATGAAAGGATCAGGTACCAAAATGTCAAAGATCTGTGATTTACAGAAGTTCCATTTGCCACTTCAGTAGATTTAGTTTAAAGAGGTTGTTGCACCTGTGTCACTGTGGGTTCTTATAACATTTTAAAGTGGACTCTATTTGCACAGGACTGAAATTTGTAGGGAGATGAGTTCATCAGTGGGAAAGGGATAAAAAAATTAATCCTGGTATGGGGATTTGGTTAAACTCACCAGTAAAGTAAAATGTTATCAAATCATCTTCTTCTATTGTCAATTTAAATGAGTCTCATTCAAATAGTTCTGCGCACATGGTGGAAAATGAGCTCACCTCCTCATGCGTTTGGTTGCCAACAGTGACATTCTCTGTTTTGTTGTAGATGGTGTTGAAGGCCTCATGGGTCTCCAGACAGAAGGTAGAGATTGACAGAAGGATGAAGAAGAGTGAGCCGAATGCCACATACTGCAATGAGAGAAACAGAGAAATGCAGCAAAGTGAAGTTTGACAATCACGCTTTCATCTCATATTTGTGTGCATTCATGGCAGGATTGGAAAATGTCCCACTTGCACACCCGTATTGCGCTCTGATTAAGCTAACATTAACATAGCATCTTCATCAGTGTGTCACTGAGTGTGCAACCAGCGATCGTCTATTTGACTTCTAATTTAAACCTACTCTCTGGGCGGTGATGGCCCACTCAGGTACGCTGGGAGGAGGGACCAGTCAACTCTTTCCCTCGATTTCTTTTTCTCCTGGATTCTCCTCCACAACACCTCAAAGCCACAAATGAGGTGGATAAAGGACAGTTGATAACACACATGAATGAAACAAAAACACATCCAAAATGGACTTCTGAATCATTCACAGACAGGACATTTCCACTCTCATCCAGCCCAAAACAACTCCTTAGGTCGTGCATAACAACTCAAAGTGTCCCTTCTCTATTTGTGCTCATTGTATTTAGGAGATAAGTAAGAAAAGAGCAGTAAAAGTATCAGACTTTACAACCTTTTCCTGTTTGGTTGGAGAACCCAATCACAGTTCTTTAAAATCTCTACTGTTCTTGTTCATTTACTAAGTTGTGCAAAAAACCCTCTTCCTCTCACGTTAAAAGCTGATGTTACAATTCTTGAGCTAGAATATCTAGATTGTAACTATCCTCCATATCCTATATATGAATTGTAACATGCTAATTCATAGAGGGAAAGATGGACCTGTACTACATATCTGGTATGCATTTACCACCAAAAAGAAGCAAAAACTATGGCATTCGCTGTTGTTTGGTCACTCAGCTGAAAAAAGGGAAGATCCCAGCACCAGCCCACCTCTTATTTTGTCTAGTAATTGTAAAATACAGTCTACTACGTATTTTCTGCAAAATACTGTACTTGCAAAACGTGAGAATTTGAGTTCATTTTGAATTTGATTACAGAGAGGGGACATATATAGCTGGGACAGTGTTAATCTCCTTTTGGCAGTCTGTAAATGTCAGGGAACTGAAGAGGTAAGTTCCCGGCTCTTTGGGAGTGGGAATAATTTGGATCCATATTCTTGGATAATTAGTCTATTATCCAAAGCTTATCCAGTGTTGGGTTGAAGAGGCTTTAGGTCCAGGGAGATAACCAGGCCATCCCTTTACCCGGCAAAACTCTCCAGTCTCTCTCCACATCAATGGATAGTTCTATTCTGCTTTTGTTTTCGTATTCTCTCGTGCCAACTTTTTTTAGGGCTGTAAATGGGTAAATGTGAGCTATGCTGGGACGCTTTAAAGTGCTAAGCTAAATGTTTTTGGACTAGCATGCACGTGTCCATCAGCATTTGCATGTCAAAAAAAGTGTGTCCACTGAGATGTTTGAGAATATGAATGCATATTCAAACTGTATAAATGTGGACAGCGCGTGTATAGGTGCATGTGTATTGTGTGTGTGTTCCTGAGAGTGTCAGGTCAGTAAAGAAGATAGATGGATGAAGAATGTTTTGAACCCTTAGAGAGCGCTTTGAATCCCACATCTTATTATGACGGTCTAATTTAACAATGCTATATCCAGCTGCCCTAAATACCCACACACAAAGGCAGGCCCGTACGCATACACACATCAGCACACACACACACCTGAAGACATTCAAGCATTGACTCAGACAAATCCCTCATACAACCTCAACTGCTACATTTCTTGAGGATTTTACCTTGACACGGATTCTGTGTGCTGCCTAAAACTAACTTGGACACTGAACCTAACCTAAACTAACCAAAATAGATGTGGATTTCCTGAACTTAACGGATTCCTCCAAATGAAATGAATGGCATGCATCTGGAGCCCAGTTTTTATTCCCTAAAAGGAAGTATGGTTCTCTTGAAACGGAAAAGAGATCCGTGCTTGTTCAGCTCAGGTTATCTGAAGCTGCATTCTGAACAGCAGGATCCAGAACAGCCAGTTTAAACAGTGTTTAAAGATTAGAAATATCATTCTGTTGCATTGCAACATATCTGAAATATGTTGTTCAATACCAACAGGGTTCGTCAGAAATTTGGTGCGGAAATTCTTTGCAATCTCCAACAGACATTTTTAGAAGGAATTGTACCTTTTTAATATCACATCACCTGTAAAACACCTTCTTTGATTTTTTTTGTCCACCATAGACAAGAATCATTTCCATCAAAACAAATTAATCTCAAAACAAAATACTGCCACACTTTCCATAAAAAGTATTGAATGAAATTTTACACATACACAAAACCAAATGCATGACTGTATTTTTAAGCATTTAAAATACAATATCTTCCCATTATATTGACGATAAATGCTATTTTTGACACTAGTATGTGCTCTAATGGAAATTTGACAAGGAATTCCAAAGCATTTTTAACCAACATTATCCTTGATTTATATCCATTTATCTACTTTTAGATGTAGCATTGTTGTTTATACCTCAAAATAGCTTCTTCATTTCTGTGTTTATACTGAAACCTAAAACGATGTTGCGAAATTTAGAAATGCTATTGTAAGCAGATGTATTTAAATTAAAACTCTTTCATTCTAAACAAAAAGAGCATCCAAGATTCAGATCATGCACAGTAGATATTAAAAAATATATAATTTTTCTTTAAAAAATAAATAAATAAATCTGGACGTGGCAGAAACGATCTGAAGTGCCTCGGTTGCATATTGTCTAATATCTCGATCTGCTTTTCAGTGGCAGACTTCAGCTTCATGGTAAATGGCTGCTTTGAGTTGCTCGTAAAGGACCCTTCTGTTTGGAAAACCAATACTCTGCTGGGCCATTTCCTCCTAATCCCATTTTGAAAGGACTTTTGATCAAAGAAATTAAGTACAGCTTGGATCCGTACTGGGTGTTGGCTGCAGTGGTTTTTGAGGTAGGCGGGATGTCAGACTCCGCTCTTCTTTGGGGTTTTCCCTTTTTCACACACCTGATTCACATTAAAGAGCCATCAGCAAAGTTCACCAACCACAAGAGGAGATCCAGTTTAATCACAACCAGGTGTGACGAAGCAGGTGGACCTCTGAAAGCGGCCCAAAGGGGACCGGAGCTCTAAAACCTGCAGGACGGCACCCCAAAGGGGACCGGAGCTCTAAAACCTGCAGGACAGAACCCCAAAGGGGACCGGAGCTCTAAAACCTGCAGGACAGCACCCCAA